TTTATCACTGTTAGCGATTTTGGGCCGATAGGTCTAATTTTCCTGATCCGTGCCTTCCTCCCTTTTATCTTGACACGTCTTCTTACACTCTCACAACTTTTCTCTGTTTTTCCCTCCATGCATGTGACACTCCAATTAGTACACTTCCATTCTCATTGTCCATCCACTTCTCCTAGCTCTGATTTGATTTGTGAATGAAGGCAGCCCTATTGCCGAATGTACGAATGAGCAAGCCTGGACAGTGCACACGTGTACAGTACCGGTAGCCGGTGGCAGACCAAATCACTGACTGATTTGCCAAGTTGCAGAGACTACGCTGAGTGATAGGATCTTGCAGTTTTACGCATCTATAGTGCTGAGCGTTCCTGGCCTTCGAGTGGCTATCTGTACAATTTCAGCGTATCAGAGCTTCATATAAGCCAATAAGGTGGAACTGAACAGGAGTCCTCCTCCCTACAACTTGCAAAGTTGTGCACTTAAGTAAAAACTCCTTATAAATTGCAGGGGTTTACAACCGGAAATTCGAAGATCTAAAACTTATGGAAGTTAGAAAATCGGTTCGGAAACGTTTTTGGAGGACTCGAACATTTCAAGTGGACATATTTTTCTTCTCTATATTCTACTCATTCAATTGAGGACATGCAGGCATAATGAGTCAATAAGCTCAAAACTTAACTCCGTGTAAATCAACGACAGTGCAGAAGTACCCTGTTCCGCCTTCTGCACATTCAATATCGCTCGGGCACACAGTATATATGTTTTGAGGTGAAGTTTGCTTTCATTTCTTTCATCGTACTTCCCTATTTGCATTTAGCTGCACAAACAACGAGGTCCAACGACTCACGCACATCTCGGGTGAGGCTGCTCGGTCTACCTTCACAGGGGCTGTTTGTCACGGATACCAAGCCATCTCCATTGCGACATGGCATTGTCGTGAGTCTAATGTCCCTACCGGATTGACATCCTTGCGTTAGTAGGTCAGACCCTCACAGCTGTTCCATTGCGATACGACATAATATTTTATGCAAAGCTATATGAGTCGGATAGGCTAGGTGAGGAAAGATTCTCACCTCAAAGCAGATAATAATAGTGAACATTGTGGTTTGAAAAAGGAGAAAAGTTTGGCTCAGCACTAGAGTAAAATCTCATTTTCTTATCTAACAAATCATGTGTAAACTAGTAGAGATATCTTGTGAGTGCAATAGCTGAAATAGGCCATGTATGGTGGAATGTCAGTCGCAATTGAAGCAGGGCATCTTTAGTAAATCATAAATGTTGCCTTGGCTGCTGCCGTGGTATTCCTGCGGCTTCGTCCACGAGTTACGATAACGTGATTGCAAGGTCATATCCATGTCTACGCTAATAATACAGACAAATCCTTTCCCAAACAAAGACCTTCAGAGACAAATCTATGTTTTTTCTTCTTCTGCTATAAAACTAT